ACCTGGAGCGCCGGCTCAGGTGGGAAGAGGGGGCTCAGCTGCCGGTCCGCCCCCCCCGCCCGCTCCCCGCGCTGCGCCTCTGGGGGTCCAGCGGACAGATCCGGAGCAGAGCGCCCCCTGGCGTCGCTCTGGCTAATTGCCAACAGTTGGCTGCGGCTCCATCCGTCAATCTCCTAAGCCAGGGCAGCCACCCCTGCCGGCTGTCTCACCTCCAGCGCCCAGTTCCCGCAGGGCCTCCAGGCTCCTCCGGCGGGAGTGGGGGCTCCTTCCTGGATGCTGAGCTGGAGCCCGGGGACAGAGACCCAGGGCCGGCAGGGCGGCACAGCCCCGCCCTGGCTGGAGGTCCTCAGAGGCAGGACCCAACTCTCCATCACCATCGGGCCAGTGTGGGGGGCCTTCTAGCAATACCTCGAGCAGGGCCACAGCGGGCCAAGGGGGCGGGGGGGGCGCCTCCCACTGATGAACCCAGGAGCGAACGGCCAGAAGTGCAGAGGCGCGGTCCGGGAAGCTTGTGAGGGAGCCCTGAGGAGCTGCCTGAGGCGCCACACTTGTGTCTGCGATTCCAGTTCATACCGGACTGAGCCTCTCTCCTCTGTGCGCTGTTCCTGGGCATCTGTCTCCCAGGACGGAGCTGGAGGGACAGGCGGAATCTGCTGCTCCCCTGGCGCGCAGGAGCCACCCAGACTCGCGTGGGGCAGGGGGTGTGTGAGGGGAAGGGAGCCAGAGAGGAAGGGTGCTCAGCGGCACATCGCAGCAGGCGTGGAGAGGAGGCCCCTCAAGCAAGGGCCACCCCGGCAGCAGGGCTGAGGCAGCCGGTGTGAGGCCCTGTTAGCCGGCTCTCCGTCACTGAGGCTCACAGCGACACCCACCGCTCGGAGGACGAGGGGTTGGATTTGGCTCACGTTTCCGGGGTTCGGCCCACGGTCAGCTGGCTCCAAGACAGGAGCACCATGGCGGAAAGGCCTGGGGAGAAAAGCTGCCTCTTCGAGCGGAGCAGGGGACCATACGAGGGAGGAGGGGTGAGGGGTGATCTAAACCACCCAAAGCCCCACCCACGCCCAACCCGGACACACCCAGGAGCCTGCTCTATGAATCTGCTACGTGTCTCTAGCCCGGTGAAGCCCAGGTGTCAGGATTTATGGTCAAAGGCTCCGTCCTCTTATTTCCTTCCAACATTTTATCATAAAATTTTTCACAGAAAAATTGAAGGAATTACACTGGAAGTGTCCAGAAGATGGTAGGTATATAGATGGCCATCACTTTTGCTGGTTTTGTTTGTCAGATGGACAGATCCTCTGGCTTCCTGTTTCCACACACATTGCAGAAGCTCCTGTGAGCCAGCCGCCCTGCCTCAAACACAAAATATTTTGGTATTTGTTGAAGCAATGCTGCCCTCTGCTGGCCACAAGCTCTCATGTCTCTGGTCAGCTCTGCCCAACAAAGGGCTGGCTGGATGAGAAGATTCTCCTGCGTCAGGCCTTTGTCAGGCTCACCCCACCCGCCAGCTTCGCTGAGACGCACCCAGGCAGAGCCACGGGCACCAGGCGGAGGTCCAGGGAGCTCAGATGACGAAGCAATGCATTAGGCCAGCAAAAGTCTCGTATCTTCGTCTTCCTGCGGCCACTCGCTGAGTGTCCACTGGTATGGACACTGCACCAGGGTTGGGTAAGAACATTGGCCACTTCCTGCCTGGTGAATTAGGGACACTCACACTCCTTTCTCTGCACAGCAAAGAATGAGCAAGAGTACAATTACCTGGACGATTCAGACACGCCAGAGAAAAATTAAAAAGCACTCACCTTCTCCAGGCAACAACTGAACTTACGCAGGTGTTTTGCTGACGTTAGGTGAACACCTGGCCCTGATACGTGTGCTGCCAAGTACTGCAAGGCAGCCGATGTCAGTATCTCTGCCGACCTGCAAACAGGCAGCCTGTGGGGCGAGGCCCAGGACCTGGGGGCTGGAAGGTGACCCCCGCCCAGGGCTCGTCTTCAGCAATGGCTCTCAGACTTGTCACATGGTTGCCAGAGAAGTTGTTAAACCACCCTGCTGCCCCCACCCTGCCAGTGTCTCACCAGTGTATAGGGCATGAAGCCTGAGAATTTGAAGTCCTAGAACCCTCCCAAGTGGCTCCCTGCCAGCCTGCGGACCCCTGAGCTTGGCTGTGCTGTGATAACAGTTCCTGCGGATGATGCCTTTACACCATAAAAGTTTATGTTTTGTTCGTGCTACATATGGGTAACAGTCAGTGTGGCTGTCAGTCACCCATGAACCCTGGCCAGCAGATGGCGCCCGCCTTACAGCAGTGGCTTCCAGACCAGAGGATCTTCTTGGTTGCTAGGACCAAGATAAAGAAATTGAAGAAGCTTGCTTGGGCTTTTCCAGGTTCCAGCCGGGCGGGATGACATAAATCTCCCCCACTCACACCCCGTGGCTGGGCCAGCTCACACAGCCCAGCCCTGTTCCAGCAGGAGTCCGCCACCTTCCCAGACGAGGCCGAGAGATGCGGTCAGCGTGCCATCTGCCATGCCGCCCCAGTGTCTGCGCAGAGGACGTGGTCACACCACGTGGGGTGGTGGTCTGTGACAGCACGCCTGGTCTCCGCAGTGCTGGTCACGGAGTGACGAGGACGGTGAGGGTGGGAGGACGACGACCACGACGCTGTCCTGTGTGGCGAGGGCCTTGCGCCCTTCCGTGTGTAAGTGGGGAAACCGAGGCACGGTGCATTCTGTAGCTCGCACAGGTCGCGGAGCTTGTAAGAGTCTGTGCCGCAACTGTAATCCAGCCAGTCTGGCACCCAAGAGAGCCTGTGTTTCAGCCACTGTGCTGCTCCACCCCGAGCAGTTACTTCTAACTTGGAAGAGACAGCAGAGCAGAGCAGCGGAAGGCCTCTTCCTGGGTGAGCTAGGAGTGCAAACCCGAGTACGCTACATGCAGGCGGTTCTGCAGAGGGCGCTCCCGCTGCTGTTCTGTGTCTCCCTCCGGGTGTCCGGCAGCTTGCTTGCCATCCTCGGTATTACCGAAGCCTCTCCAGCATCTCCGCCTCCGTCCTCACACGTCGCTCGCCTGTGTGACTGTACACGTGCCCCATCTCACACACCCCGACTCACTAGGTTGGGGTACACGGTAAACAAGTCTGAACTTAAGTAATCACACCTGCAATCACCCTGGACCTGAACCAGGCTGCATCCTAAATCCTACGTGCTTGGGGTTAGGACCCCAGCAAATGCACACTGAAGGGCCATATTCAGCCTGTGGAGGAGCGGGGCCTCCCGCCGTCCCTGCAGCCTGGCTGTCCTGCCTCCTGGGGATGCCGATGTCCAGGTGTAAAGACGAAAAAATCATTCATTAGATCTGCGGCCCAATTCTTCAGCCCTCAGGAATGGCTCTCCTCCTGGGAGTAGGAGCTCAACGTCCCTCTCCCCAGCCTTCCCCTCACACGGAGCACAGACCTTCTCCAAAGCACCCGAGATGCCTGCTAACTCAGCCGGCTGCCAGGCCACAGTCCCTGCTCTGCCTCGAGCTCCTCCAAGCTTCGCATTCTCTGGTGCCACCAACCTCCCGCCGAGCTCCGTGACTCCACGCTGGACCTGACGCCCCATCCGTGCTGAAGCTTCTGGGCACCGAGCAGCCCTGCAGGACTGATGGGGAGGAGGCGGAGGGGCTGGGAAGTCTCCCACCCAGCATGGTGAGATGTCCCCATAGCATGCCGCGCGTGCCTTCCGCTTCCCGGGCCGTCTCAGGCCCTTCTCTGCGCGGGAACCCACCCCCGACGCACCCTGAAGAGGAGAGGGGCTCGTCTGTGTTTGTGTTGCCTGTCCGAGGTCAGCGGACTCGAGCACGACAGCGTGGTGGGAGGGCCTGGCACGGGTCACTGCTCCTGTCACGGCATCCTGGAAGCAGAGGGCGAGGGGAGGCCTGGGAGTCCTTCTGGTCACCACCCCGTGGCCTGCCTCGCCCACTTCTAACAACGTCCCCTCCGAGCAAGCACTCGGCTCACCCGGGAATGGCCTGCTCATGAGCACGGTGCCCGTTACCCAGCGGCACCCCAAGAGCTGCACCCTGAATACATGAGCCTTTTGGGGGTCACTCTAGATCCAAATGGTAACAACGGGCTCTGAAACCAATTCCTGTCTAGAGAGAATCTCTTCGTCCCGGGGTCACCAGTTGGCAAGGCCAAGGTGGCTGCAGAAATGGCCCCGCCCACATGCCCGGCCTCTCTCCAGGGGCCCAGCACCGCCAGGGCTGGGGCTCCCTGCTCCCGTGGGTGGCCCGCTGCCGGTCTTGGGTCAACCGAGCTCAGTGGTTCTATCTGCAACCCATCAAGGGACGCGCGGAGATTCTCCCTGGCCCACGCACCTGCCCGAGAGGAGCTTCGCCAAGGCCAGCCTCCAGATTCCCAGATGAGCTCAGATGCATTCTGGCTTCTCACAGCCAGCACTCGTCAATCCACGCAATGCAACCAGTCACACCCTACACTAAAACAACACACACACACATCAACTCGACACTCCTGCTAGAAAACCTGCAGTTAGCTGAGAAGACGGTGGTCAAAAGGACATTT